GTGTAGATGAAAGAAACATTTTTGAGTGGGCTAATAAAAGGTTTAAGGGAGCTACAATGCTTGGCTCCGTGGTAGTGGCGAAAGATTCTCAAGAGTATAACTTGGGTCTTAATCTATTTGGGGGTTCTTTCTTTAATTGCCCTTTGTTCACTTGAACCTTACACCACTCTTTCTCTCTTTTAGTTCTCCCACTGGTGACTTAGGTCTTAATCAAATTGGAATTCTTAGATTACGTGGTCTTCCTCAATTGAATACGATCGGCCACCAACCACTTAAAAGCTCACAATCACTCTTCATTCTCTCTTTGTTTTTTTTTTTATCAATGAGGTGGTTAAATATTTAATTTACTAATGATTGGGGATTATATAATTTGGTCTAGCTAGCCACCCAAACCCTTGATTCTCTCATCCTCTTCATGATGTTGGAGAACTTAATCAAATTGGGGATAGATCGAGAAACCAACTTATTATCCACTAAATCTCTTAATTTGCTAGGGAAACTGGTTTCTTAAGCTTCTCTTGATGGAGCGAGGTTGCTCGAATCTGCTTTACTAAAAGAAGAAACAAACTCCCCTTAAAATAAGCACCCGATGGAAAACCAATAATTAAGACAGGAAAAGTCTACTAACGATAAAAGAGATGCTACTCTAAGCTTTTTCAACCTTTATAGCCATAACCGTATTGCTAAACAGGGAACAAGGTTAAAGTTAAATCCTACATATTTCCCAACTTTGGAGCTTCCCTAGGGTAGAATCTAGCTTTTTTACCATAGTGCTTAGTGGCTTCTTCATTTTTTTAGACAAATTTAAAGTTAGTTAGTATTAATTAATTGGTTCGGATCGATGTTGCTCCTTTTCCCAAGGAGGCCCTCTTGCATATCAGTGTAAAATAGGAAGACTCTTGTACCCCTATTTTATCATTAATGCTAGATTTTTTCCCTTGCAAGAATCTTATAAGTGATCATGGCATGCCCTAATATACACATTGGATGTTAAATTTAGTACTACGATATATAGTTGAAGACTTGAAGCATTATACACGTTGGATGTTAACTTCAAGGGTGAAAAATAAAAAATTTAGTGTATAACTTAGATTTCTTTTGGTTTGTAGTCTTAATGATATTTATAATGAGCATAAAAACATATATATAACATATATCTATATGATTATATATCTCATATCTTCCTACTAGAAACAGTTAATGCTGGTATGTTACCCAAATACAAAATGCTAATAATTCACAGCAAAGTCATTATTTGTACCCGAAAAAGAAAGGAAGAGAGTTAAGATGAGAAACGGGATCAGAGCACTGAATTTGATAACAAGAAAGATATAGAGTTTGCATCCAATGTCGGGGCCAAAAACCAAAGGGCAACAGTGGGTTTTAACTCTCTACCAATTCTATATATGATTATTTGTGTATAATACTATGAATTGATTCTTATACTATCAACACATTATTTACTGTTTCTTAAAAAAAGAATGGGGCACTCTAACCGCTTGTTTCACGTTTGTGACTAGAAAAGAATCTAACCAATATTATAACAAGTATGGTACAAATAAATATCTATAATAATATATGAATTAAGGAATCTAACACTAAACAGGAAAAGCATTGAGCCACGTATTGAGCAGCAGTAGTATTATCATAAACTTTTCTTTTCACGTAAAACAAACAGAGGCGACCAGCCAAAGCTGCAAGTAAAAGGGTTTTAGTATAAATTATAATTTTTGAGAGGGTAGGGGATATATGGGTCCAAAAGGCAGGGGACTCCATCTTGTCGGGTTCAGGTGGTTTGGCTTGGGCAAGGGTTTTTGGCATTAGCAAAGTGGGGAGCCAGGAGCCGCTTACTACAAGACCTTTTGAGCTGCCTGCCAAGCGAAGCCTAGGTTGGAAGATTTTTAGGTTTATATGTTGTTGTAACAAATGCTAACAAGGGATTAAATACGGATTGGGGCTACAAGGCTTAAACATATCTTTGTGTGGGAGATGGAGGTTGTTCCTTGATCGAGAAAGAAGACAACCCCCCTTTTTTTGGAAGGGTGCTCCAACTGCATACATATCAATGGTGGGGTTGATCAAGATCTCCATGGCTCATATTCTTGGTTGCAATTTATATTATTTTTAGTCATTTGAATGGAAATTTAATCAATTAAAATGTCAAAAATGGAATTGAGATATGAGGGTCGGTGTTGGATGGTGCAAGAAATTATCAATACTCAAATTACATAGTCACATGCAAGCCATATATATATATATATATGTATATCTTGATTCTTGGATGTAATAATATGATTTGTGACCTAGAGATTTATTAAATTTTTTAATCAGTAAGTTTGTTTTTTGCTATAAATAGTTTTGGAGTCAAATTCTATCAATGATGTCTTATTGACAATAATTTTAAATATATAAATTTACGAGATAAGACATATCTCCTTCAAATCTGAAAAACAAAACAATTTATTTATTCTTGATTTTTTATGTACCACAGAAATAAATAACTAGAAATTTGAAAATTAGGTGAATTTTTCCATTACATGTGTTCATTAATTCTTCATTATATCTTCATACACATTGTTGAAATCAAAATCACCAATATTTTTGCATGTTATGGTATTTTTACCATAAAAATATTGTAGCTGGACAATATTACCATTTGATGAAATACCTCAAATTGCATTTCGAATCTTCTTCTCATTTTCCCTATTTAATTTCAAAATAAGAGTAAAAAGTAAAAAAAAAAGAAGAAAAATGAATAAAAAAACAAAGACAAATAGTAAGAGCATGAAACAAAGGAAGATTTAATTAATAATAATGCCTTACACATGAAAAACAAATCTTGTCAGCTTAATCCAAGTGATGAAGGAAAAAACGCAAAGCAGGGTGTCAGATAATGGTACGATTATTGAACCAAAATAACAATTTCCTTAACCAAGCATCCCCGGTTGAATAGCAGCTTCTTAGTTTGTATGTAAAAGTTAATTGGATGAGAATCAACTTGTCTGTTTTCATGTTTTGATACAAATCTAGCGCTGTGTCGTCCTCAGCCAACATAATAAAAAGGCAAAATGAATCAGCGATTAAATTCCTTGAGTGCTTGATCGACTCATGTGAGGTCTAAGCACGTATGTCTGCTCCTATGAAAAAATATACAGTAGATAGTTTACCTCGAAATGAAAATTTCCAAAAGTCATGTTCACAAACACAATCACTCCCTATATATAACTTGTTCGAGATAAACGGAATTGGAATAATTAACTAGCTAGCTAGTCACGGTTGACGTCTCCCTGCCATTGGAAAAAGAATTGACTTGCAAAACTAGATTGGAGGTCCCCCTCCCTCCCCACACCATGAAAACTCAACGTAAAAACCGTCGGGGGTAGGCCGTGGGGGGTTCAGAGCTCAGCAGAGTCCACATCAAACAGGTTGGCCAAGCCAGAAGGGGGTGGGGGGGTTCGGACCCTATCCAGGAACTGAAAAGGTGAAAACAATCCAGTTTTGTTTAATGACGGCTGTAAATGTTATTTTAACTAATGTCATTATCATCCCCAAATTGAAAGATACTAGAGAGGTGAGTGGAGTATATTCTACCTAACTGGTATTAAAGTATCCTACCCTCTCAGAATATGAAATTTCATAAAGCCAAAAAACCCAAATGGGAAGCCACAAGGCAACAAATCGGGGACCATTTTAAATCCAAGTAAGTGAAGGTGAATAGTGGGATTGTCTCATGCCAACTCGCAAGTGGAGAGAGAAATAATGGCAGTGGGAGAAGTACATGCTGCTCCAATCCTCCACCAAACTTACCTACCATAAGAGGGAACAAAGAAAATTCAGAGGAGCATGCTACAAATGAAAACTAAAAAAAGTTGAAATCATTGAGGGAAAAAAGTTTTATTTTTTTATCCCTCCATACTTTTTACTGATTGATGTTAGAGGTTTTTTTGGCTGTTGACAGTGTAAGATATCCATCTAACAGTAAGAGGATTTGATTCCTTTTCCATGTCTATTCTTCTGTTTGCAACCACGGCTACAACGTTTACAAAAGGGATGGGAAGGGCATAGTTAAAAGGGAAATTTTATTTAATGCAGGTGGAGTAATGTGCCCCACTCTCCAAGTTGGATCCCAAGGCTTATGCTTGGCAGGGCCCCCTTCCCCGCTCTCTGGTTGCATGAACTTGTCTCACAATTTGCTCGGATGAAAATAGTTCTGAGTTGTCATGGTAGCTCAGGCTCAGCTCTACCTCAATCTAAAGATAAAGCTTCAAATTCATTGATGTGTAAAAATGATGAACTCTAGAAGTGTTACCGCTTGTCCTCGCAAATGGTATAGAAATTTCTTGCATTGCACAAGCTAAAGATTTTCGCAAGGCTTTCAATTCACAAATTGTTATTTAGCCATTTAGTAATAGATCTGGGTGCTCCTTTGGAATTTGGACCTTAATTCAACAACTGGAATGTAGACATGTAATGGCACTAATTTATTTTCTCTTATAAACTCCTCCACATCCAGTTACCTTGAATCCCCATCGCTTAGGACCGCTTGATAATTCTCATTATTTACCCTTCACATTTGGTACATATAGATGGGAAAATGAAAGCTATCATATAGGCATTCTTTTTATATATACTTAGTGAAGGATATTTTTGCAATATTATTTGATTACTATGTTAGTTAGTTGAAGTAATTTTAAAACTTTTTATTTGATTTTTTTTTTCAAAATTAACAGCAACACATTAATTGCTGAGCTTAAAATTTTTCATTAATGAAAAAGAAACAATGCACCAACGAAGTAATGTGGCATTCTCCGTTAGAAAAAGCTGGGAGAATTAACGGTTTAAATGCACAAAAAACTGAAATTTGGACTTAAAAACATTAACAACACTGCTGCCGAATAGTTGCGCATGACAATGTTTGTAAGGGAACAGAAAGAAGTCGGTTGAATTTGGCATTGGAGGTCCACCGGGCAAAGTTAATAATAAAAGAGATACACTTAATGTTGGCAATAATAATGGCATGTCATTTAAATCATCATTAACTTAATACTAATTAATCTACACTAATTCCGCCACAACCCAGACATCCACTAATTAGCAGCAGCTATTTTTGCTCCATATGTAGGGCACGGTTAAAGTAAAACTCGAGGTTGGTAACTTACAAAAGGGTTAAGAGAGAGAAAACAAAAATAAAAGTAAAAACAAAGGAAAGGACAAAAAAAAATTTATGAAAAGAAAAGGAAAAAGAAAGTAGCTAACGGCCGTTAGCAAGTGGGCTAACGGCCGATTCCTTGCAGGGACTTGGAGGAAGGCTGGATTTTCCGGAGGCAACAAGACGTTGCACAAAGCTCTCAATTCTCTGTCCATTAGTCTCCGTCAGTAACCGCTTCCCGCCAAACGGTAAGGACTCGACTCCTTTCTCCTTCAGTACCTCCTCCATTCTCGGCGCCACCATCCTTTCTCTCCCCAGTCCGTTTGCCTGTACCGTCGATCACAAATTGTATTCAGTCCAGAAGGAAAAGAAAACCTAAAATCGTTGAAATCTGTTTGGCCATTTAGAAGACCGAGGAAAATTATAAAAAAGACTCACTTGAATCCAGTCATACTACTTTAACCACGGATTAACGATTTTCTTAAGAACCAAACAGAGCAACGGTACATGAAAAGAAAGTATTATGACACACACACCTGAATTCTAACGTAGTCCGTACGGTTCCAACAAAAAGCGTTCCCCAACATCTGGTCTACGGTCTCCGAGACTCCGTCCAGCACAATGTCAACAACGGAGGAAGTTGAGCACTCGCCGTTATCGCGGACCTTTGACCTTCCGCACGACGGACCGTTGCCTAACGACAAAACCAGCAGATCCTCCACACTATTAACCGACGGGAAATCCCTCTTGTTATGGAGCACGTGTGTAACCGCCGCGGCTGTAGGGTTGTTCATGACCAAACCGCCGTCCACAGCGGAGCAGGAGGTCTTACCGTCGATAGATGTCAATGCGAAAGGTTTGAAGAGGCGGGGAGTGGCTGACGTGGCGCGGCACACTTTCCAAAGCTCGAAGTTGAAGCTAGGTGATTCGGAAGCGTCGGCGCGAGAGAAAACAAAGGGAGCAGAACTCTTGAGGTCAAAGCAAGGAATCAGGAGAGGCTTACACGTGTCCTTCAGTGTTAAAACCGTTCCATCTTCTCTCTTAAACATTTCCTTCAGCGCCTTATCCATGCTCTTACCCGAGAATCGCTTCTGCCGGTGCAGAACTCCGGCAAGCTTATTAACTTTGAACAGCTCGGAGTTATTCTGAGTGACACACTTGACAGCCTCTCTAGCAGTGAAAAGCGGATGGCCTGTACCATCATCGGCAGAGAGCATGGCAGCAAGAACAGCACCGACACCGGTGCCAGCGATCATGTCGAAGAAATCAGCAATTTGAGCATGCGGATCACCAGTTTTGAGGCGGATCTGCTCTTCAAGGTGGATAAGAGCGGCACCAGAGACAATGCCGGTGGTTCCACCACCGTCGATGCAGAGGATTCGAATCTTCTTAGTGGTTTCACAGTGTGATAGCCATTTTTGCTCAAGTTTCGTGAAGATCTCCAAAGTTACCTTACTCAGCTCCATTTCAGGCAGTTCCACTCTTTACCACCCCCACCAAAAAAAAAAAAACAGAGAAAAAAAAGCCTTGGAGATTTTAATAATTTTTTATCTTTTGGTTTGATTGATTGCTTTCTGGCGTCTTGCAAGTCCGTGAAAAAAGCAAAGAGAGCTTGGCTCAAGTCACGGTTTGCTGCTGATAAGCATTAATGGTGGCGATCAGCAAAAATATAATGCTTGCACGCTCTTTCTTTCTTTCTTTCTCTCTCTCTCTCTCACTATCTCTCTGACTTCAAATCTCTGTGGCCTGACGAGTGAAAGTTGAGAGAGCGGGGTGTTATAGTTTTCTCCGTGGGCTACTGGGCTCTCAGATGAGAAGCAAAGAGGTTAAAACCGGGAGTGAATGAGGAGAGGAATAGGAATCGGATGGTCTGGCCTATTGGTGATGGTGGTGGTGGTGGTTATCTTATATACACGGAGTGCTTCTTCAGTTGTCCTTTGTCGTTTATTTTTTAAATTATTTTTTTTTATGTTTTACGGAGAGTTTACTTTCTCTAATTTGGTAGTGAGAATCTTACGTGTTTGGACTGTCCTTGCACGTGTTCTTTTCGGGTTATGGGAAGCGCCAACTTCGGCTTCTTACTCGGCTCGGCTCCCGCTTTCCCTTCTTTAATGCTTTCGCCCATCTCCTTTGCCACTGCGACTTCCTTCTTCACTCTTTTCTCTGAATTCTCTCCATTTTTAATTCTCAAACTGAAGCAACGTAGAAACAGCGTTGAACCTCCATGTAAGCACCTCCTTAATAAATAAAGTTTGATTTTAATTTTCTCGGCATATTCTCTATTCACTCTTAATTGTTTTGGACCTTATTTTTCTAATTACTTTCCATTTTGGTAATTAAATTCTAAGACGATGTACTTGGGGTCAATGGCTTGCAAGAATATGATAGTGTGATTGAATTTGCTAGCCGGCCGCATTCTGTTGCTAAAACAGGATTGAGGAAGCACAAAGTTATCTCTTCATATATGTTGATTGAATCCAACATACGTATATAAAAGAGTAAAATCTCATACTATTTTTCTATGCCAAAACAGGTAAATAGGGAGACTAAAGTACCTGTGACCTTTTATTTCAGTCTATTGATTTTTTTTGGTGTTCTAATTCCCAGTTATTATTAACTTTATCGATGGTGAATTACTTCATCCAACATTATTTCGTTTTCCTTGTTATGAAAGGATGATGAAGGTTTGGTTAGAAACGCCTAAATAAGTGAATTAAACAAAATACTGGCCTTGGAGGAATTTGCTGCCTCCTTTATACTTTTATACATCTCTCTCCAAGTTAAGACACCTACCAGACACACCCTGCACAGTCACAGGGTATCCAAGACATATATTATGGCAATTCTAAGTCAAATTGTTGTCTTAAAGGCTCACTGTTGTAACTCTTTAGTGTTAAAGCTGATGTATAAATGAAAGCAGATATCTTTGGTCAAGACTCAAGGCATTCATGTGGAATATGAATATTACCATCTACTTTATTTTTAACCCCAACAATACCAGCAGAAACAAGGTTGTAATTCACTCATCTGATTCGTCTCTTTCCTTTTTCAATTTTTCCTTAAGAACACAAATAACCTTCCCATCAAAGTTGTTGACACCTTACAATGATTTCCCTTCTTTTAAGTTCCAAATTTGAAATATTGAGAGTGAGAATTTTATGTTTTAATTGTCGAGGACAATTGTTTTCTTCTCATAAATAAAGGTTTACTTTTAACTACAATGTGATTTACCAGGTCATCCAAACTAGTAGTTAAAGGAAACAGGCGAAAAAACCCTCTGTGACCCAGATCTCCAACACCCCCCCTTCCCAACATTTTTATTTTAGTACGGAATAAACCCATAAGGTATGATAAATTTGGCAAATATGGGACATGCATCTCCTTGGGCTTGGAGAAGACAACTGCCCCAAGCAGTTAATGTGAACCATCCTTGAGAGGTATTCTTGCATTCATGATGGGAGTTCTACCAGCATCTCTGTAAGTTTGAGAATGTGCATCAAGGGCCAACGGCCATCCCCCACTCTCAAATCAACTCGATCAAAATTTGTCCATGATTTGTACGGAATCACAAGGGCAGAGAAATCTGCAATGATTTTGTTGGCAACTTGGGCATATGCTCAGTTCACAAGCAAAAGAGGATAAAAAATGTTTTCCCCGAGTGATTATGTCCCTTTTCCATTGGATTTCTTCCTTGTATGGGGAGGAAAAATCGTTAAATTATCTTTGGTGGAATTAATTTCCACTCAATTTATGGACATTGGTCCCATTTTTTGCATTTATCCCATGGATTCTATGCATAAATAATAACCAATACAAAAAGTTCCATTCTTCATTCCAATTGGATTATCAAGGGACAAAAGTAAAATACTGAAACCGTAAATCCATAATGCATCATCTCTACAATCCTACTGGGTATTTGGGTATCGCCACCCATGCTCATGCAACAGTAATTTAGGTGAGGGTGAGCTAGCTAGGGCCACAGCAAGATTCACGTCCAACCTTTCAGATTAGCCATGATGCTATACCATTAGACTGAAAAGCCATTAAACAATCGCAATCCATTGATTGAAATTCAAGGTCAAATGGAAGGTAGGTTACTGCAAACATTTAATTCATTGAATTTAAGACCATCACTCTTCAAGAGGAGAGACCAGGCTAGTGAGAGGCCGGTTGAGAGGATTGCCGATCTAACTTTTAACAACTTTTTCTTTTTCTTTCTTTTTTTTTGTTTTTTTTGTGGGGCGGGGGTGGGCTGTGTGAAACAATTTTTATTCCAAAGCATTTTTAAAGGAGATGGATTTATAGTGACGGAGACAGTGCTATTGAAAGTTTGTCTCTCGTTTGCGAACAGTTTAATCCAATGAAACTTGTTTTCCTATGAATGAAATTCCAACAAGCTAGGTAATCTAAAGAGAAGTTATCACCTAATCAAACAAAATATGCAAGGACAACCACAGCCAGGGATTTAATGGCAATCTGAACAATGGAAATATGGATTGATGAAGCACTATTAGTACGAGCACTGCTTGGAGCTGGATTCTTAGCTGCAGGAGATGGTGGGAATGGAAGTGAATTAGCTGGAGCAGGGCTGGGGCTGGAAACTTCATGGACGTAGATGTCAACCTTCTGCCCATATTTGCAATGGTTGGGGAAGCCGCAAAGGAAGTAGCGGTGGCCAGGCTGCTTCAAGGTGAACGAATCATTGCCAGTATAGTAGGTTGCAATTGGATTTGTTGCATTACATTCTCGGTAATTTGGTTCAGTAACTTCCTTCACATTGTGAAATATAGCATTATATTCAAAACCTGCAAAGTGAATTATTTAATACAATATCAAAGAAGCTGTATTTTCTTGTAGAGCCAAAGACTAAAAAGGTCGGGTTGCGTGGTTGTAGTAGGGGTTGAATCATAGCACGAAAAAGTTCAGCCGCAGACGAAGCAAGAGCAGGGGGTAGTTATTTCACGAATGACGAAATGACTTCTATGAAATTTATGTAGCAAGCAGTCTTAGAGTAGAAACCAAGACAAATCAAAGGCATTTTTGTCTATGTTTGATTAATGTGATTAGGAGCTGAAACAAATGTTAAAGTAGATATTGCTAGACATGAGACAAGGGTTTAGGATGGGCTAAGCCTAGTGCAAAGAGAATGAGAAATACAATAAATCATATAAAGGAAAATGGATCGCCTTGTCCCTTAGTTTGATCCTTCTGTTGTGAGCATCAAAATTTTCTCTTAATTTTAGACAGATATATTAGTCGTATAGCCTAACAAATGAATAAAAAAACAAATGACAAACTTACACATACAAACAGACGGAATTTGGTAAAAAGAAAAGAGCAAGAACACCAAAAGAAAAATACAAGTTGTTTCAGAAACAGAAGAATAGCTTACGAATAGTGTCAGCAACACAAAATTTCTTGGAAGATGCCCAGTTTTGGTAATCGAACATTGGATGCCAACCAGAAGCATCACCAACCCTGTAAACAGTCCCAAAACAGATAGCAAAAGGAGCAATTATCATGAACATAAGCATTGCATTTTTAGCAGAAACCATGGCTTAACCACAAGACGTGGGGCTGAGAGAGGCAGAGGGATTTCAGGGCAAATTAATGACAGATTGATGACTGATTGACTATCTGTTGTTGGAAAAGTTACCCTTTTTACAGCAACATGTCTGATGCCAGCTTAGGAAAAGAAACGATTCTTTTGGAAACAATTAAAAAAAGAAGAAGAGGAGAATACGTTTAGGATATTTGCAATCAGTGTCGTAAATGTAGTGAATTTAGTGCAATTAATTGTGATTCTTTTTGATAAACTAATAAAGGAAATGTTAATAAAAAACCTCGGACCATGAAAGAATAAAATTAAAGAGTTGAAAGGACCATATCAAAATAGCTTGGACATGACCTATTACATGCTTTAATGTATGAATCACAATCTTATTATCTTATATACATATTTTCGGTGCTTCCCCTCTCAAGAGATCCTTGAAACCCATTTCAATTTTGCTATTGCACTACTTGCTATAACTAATTTCGCCTATGTTTTTTACTTGAAATATTAATACTACCTCCTCTCCTCTGTCCTCACCTCCTCCCTTCCCTGTCCCGTTGATAGTCTTTTACTAGAATTAGTGTCTAAGCTTCCGTCCGGTTTCTTTTCCAGCTTTATTTTCCTGCATAATGTTGCTTTCGTTTTATTTTTCGAAAATGATCTGTTAAATAAATTATCACAACAACTAAAAGTCAAGGGAATTCCTGTAGGTTCTTTCACCTATCTTCTTTATATTAAGAGTTCAGCAATGGGTTGAAGGTTTAGTTTAATATTTATTTGGTTCTCTAGATGGAATTTGAATGCGTTAGATTCGCAAGAAACGCCAATTTTTTGATAGTACAAACAGAGAAAACCATGTAAGGTGCAAAATTAGATTGAACATTTGTTTAATCTAACGATTAAACAAGCCAATTACCATAGGACAAGTCCAAATTAAATAACAATAAAAAAAAATTTCCTACCCGAACCAAGTTATTGAAGTAAAAACCAAGAAACAAAATGCAACAAGACTCAATGCCCAGGGAAGCTTAAGGAGTTGGGCCAGGTGGCGACATCTCTGACTGTGGGTTTGCAAGTGGCAAACCTTAAGGAGGTACGCTTTGGACTTGCTTTTGGGCCCAGGAAAGATGGCGTGACCAATACCTCAGCTTTGCTTGGCAGTGGCCAGGAACTCAGCCAATGAAGAAGTAGTCGCCGGGCCTGTCGAGGGAAGGGGGATGGAATCAGAACCAGAGGTGTAGGAGGCGATAGCGGATGTCCCGCCGCATGATTGGAAATCGTTGAAACTCACTTGCTTCATATTGTGAAATTGACTGTTTTACTCGAAAACTGCATGATGAAGAGAAGGCAAGCAATGAGAATTGTCAAGTAGTAATAAAAGGTGTACACTGTAACAACACGAAGAAGCAGTCTCTCAAAAAAATAAAAAAATAAAGAAGAAAAGGAGAAACAGAGGAAAATTGATAATTGCTTAGAAAACTTACGGAGAAAGTCGCTGATCCACTTGCTCTGAATCGGAGTTTGAAGAAGGGGAATGAGAAATCAATATTTCTCTTCATACTCCAACTAGCAGAGTCGCCGACCTTGTAAACGGCACCAAGGAGGACTCCAAAGAAAGCCAGCATCAAAAGGAAAGCCAGGATTCTCTTAGCAGAAGCCATACTCGAACCACGATTATCAAAAGAAATCAATTAACTGAAGAGCAAGAAAGCAACAGAGAGAGCAAGACTGTAAAAGAAAGCGTTTGCAACGAGTTGGTTAATTTGTGAAGACAACCCACGGTGCTGGCTCACTGGCTCTATAAATACATGTATCTCTTCAAGTTTTGCATGAAAAGGGGTTTCCCATACCAAAAAGGATTTGTATTCTGAAACGGATGCCCACAGTAAAAAATACGATATACTTTTGACATTAATTATTATTATTTTATAATTGGTTATTTATTTTTCCAATTTAAACAAAATTTACTTTTTTTTTCTTCTCTAAAATTTAAAAGATATATTTACATAAAACTCTTACAGTTTTGATATGTTAGTATCCTTTCTATGGATAATGTAGTCATTCAATCATAGTTTTTATAAATAAAGTAAGCACTTGAACGTTAAAAGATAAAATCGCAAGATAAAAAAAATGAAAAGCAGATAAGATTTACGTAAACTTTCTTAAGTAAATTTTGGTAAAGTTGTCAATTAAATTAAGTTATGAAAATTAAAATTGAGAATTAAAACCAAGATATTGAAATATTGTTTATAAAAATATTTAAAAATTTTAATTGAAAAGGTAATTATTAATATCTTTGCATAATTTTAACAAGTTATTAATTTTTGTCATAATTTTTCAAATTCATATGAGTGAAAAGCTATTGTGATGTTTGTCCAAAAAAATGGAGAATTTGAACATTATGATATTAATTTCTCTCCCTTTGGTGCACTGAAGAACATATATATATATATATATATATATCTATATATAATATTATTATTTTAGTTATAATAGAACTTGATACTTGCATACATTTAATCTCAAAATGTCATATTTTCATAAATTTTCTTGACTGTCCATGTGAGTTTGAATTCCTTTTATTTGTAAAATTTTTGACATCACAACAATCTGTCATGTGTTTCATGTTTCACCAGGTCATGCAACATTTAGTTGATTTCAAGAATTAGTTTATCTTAGTTTAATTCCAAACTCAAGTTGCATATACGATCATTTTGAAGAAAATATTAAGATAATTATATAAATTATTTAGTTAAAATTATTATACGATACTATTATCTAGTTAGATTACAACATCTTATTAGAGTTATACTGTAATATTGTTTGTTAGTTTTAGTTAAATTATGAATAAGATTAGGAATCATTTTGAAGAAAATATTAAGATAATTATATAAATTATTTAGTTAAAATTATTATACGATACTATTATCTAGTTAGATTACAGCATCTTATTAGAGTTATACTGTAATATTGTTTGTTAGTTTTAGTTAAATTATGAATAAGATTAGGATTCGCCATATATAAAAGATAATTATACAAATTATTTGGTTAGAGTTATTATACAATAATATTATCTAATTAGACAACACTGTCTTATTAGAATAAGAATATTTTAAGTAGAGTTAGAATATAAATAAAATTAAGATTGACTTTCTAAATATATATACTTTATTTATCTATATAACATATACATAATTTAGATTTCTAAATATACAATTTAGATCTTTTATAACTTATATAATTTTATATTATGTAGGATTTTTTCTTCTCTAACAATTGTCATTGTTTTTTACCTATCACGTTCAATTCAAACACTGTTTCATCAATTCAAAAAAGCAGATTAACATTATAGTGTATTTCAAACATGCCTGTCATCAGTTTAAGCTTATTTATAAATAGAAGACTGTAACATTGGCACAATTACTTAGAAATGAAACCCAATCGGCTAGTAAACGATGCCAGTAACACCTAATCCACATGCAAGGACTGCCAGAGCGGCCCAGACGTTGAACAATTTGAGAGATGGAGAACTGCTCTGAGCTGGGCCTGGGATCGGTTCTATGCTCTCTGGACTGGGTGCCAACGCCTGATCAAACTCTGAGCCTGACTGTGGTAAGTGATTAACACCGGAAGCAAAAGGTTGAAGGTATTCCTGGCCGTGAGCCACCTCAATGTGAAGCTTTTGCCCGCTTAGACAGTGGCCAGGAAGACCGCAGATGAAGAAGAAGTGGCCGGGCCTTGTGAGTTCGATGGTGTCAGAACCCGAGGAGTAGACTGCAATCGGAAATGTTGCGTTGCATGACTTGAAGTTCTGGTGTGTCACACGGAGCACGTTGTGGAGCAGCTTCTTGTACTTGAAAACTGCAATCAAATTAAACCAACTTTATCATGTAACCAAATCATCAAATACTAGTTGAAAGGAGTAGAAACCCAGAGGATCGGGGAGCTTAATTAGTTACCAACAATGTCGCCAACATGGAAGTTCCTGGTTGCAGCCCACTTTTGGTAATCAACTGGAGCAACAATGTTCCATCCACCAAAGTCTCCGACCTGGTGCACGGCCCCCATTGAGACTCCAAAAAGCGCCATCGTAAAGAGTAAAATTGCTGTATTCATACCAAACGCCATGGCTCGAGTAAAGTGTGAGGGATTTGAAAATAAAAAGAAATTGATGATGGGGTGAATATGTGAATAATACAACCTTAATATATAAGCCGGGGGACTCTGTTGATTTTAACCAAGGGAGACTCGATTCTAGAAATGGAAAAGCATGCATCTTCTACGGATTTCTGTAGCAAACAACACTTATTTACCAAACTATACATAGTTTATGTTCCTACTGGCCCATTAGTGAGGTTGATATTATTAATGTGGGGACATGGATTTAATCCTAAGAATAAAAATCAAAATGGTTACCTCTTGGGGGCCCAAATGAGTTCGAGGGAAGTTGGTTTTTTAGCCGAAAAGGGGAAGAAAGAGGGGGCGTCTGCCCACTCCTTCCTTCTCCAGTGCCTACTTGTCGTACCAACACCAAATTTAGCCCAATTACAAGCTGAGTCACTTCCAATTTGCTCAAGTTGAACTTCATTCCAGATCCAGCTAGGCTTCCACTTGATATAAATAAATAATTTGCATTTATGCAGTCTCTTTCTTAAAGCAACATTCGTTCTAACTCTAAGAAGGATAAAAAACTATTTGTATTGTTTCAAGTTTTGGACATTGTGACAATCATTCTCTCTCACCAACGCATAATACTACTTGAGTAATCACCCAATATGTGGTCATTGGGCCTTTTGTTTTAATGTGGCTTAATTCAGTGGAATTCCTAACCACTAAAAGACTGTATATTTAATAAATTGCCTTCAATTTGTAAGATGAGTAATTCAAAGTTGAGAGTAATATAATGCTCTTTTGGGAAATCAAAGGAATGCAGCTTTTCCAAACAGAAAGGTTGACCAACGTGTTGAACCATCTTTTACCTGGAATGATTGGATCACCAACCTAAACAAAACTGTCAACAATAAAATTGATCTCATTTTTAATTTCATCGCACAATATAAACTATCGTAACATTTTTAATTGACAAGTGAATTATTATATCTGAATTGTATTGATGAAAATTCTAGATAGATATCAACTTGGACTAGTTTGAGGTGTGATACATTGTCCCAGATGAGTCATCCTTCAATTCTTACAACAATCAAACTCATTCAAAGGAGATGTAAAAAGTGAATGTACCTAATAAAGAAGATCCCATCTCATTTCAAGCTAGATTTCTCTGGCACCAACAACCAAGCAGAGTGTAAACCCTTGATTCTGGAGTTGTATAAGGGCACTGTTGGTGAAGTCAATGACTTGTGCATCCATGGAGACTCTAATCTCATTGTAAAATAAAGAAATGGTGAGTTTTCTCTTAAAGAGCCTATGTTTGCATTATACAGATTTATTGTCTTGTCATTTTTATAGAAATTCTCAAAGGTGAGATGTGAACATAGTTCAAGATTGATGAATAGACATGTAGACACATTTGCTACTCTAGCTTGCAAGATACAAATGCAGGAGAAAGATCAAAGCACCATTTCGGTATTGAAAAGAAGGCTTCCATATCCATCCAGTGAGCTTATACAACCCTCCATCTATGAAGAAGAGGACTAACGTGCACCTATGGTAAGAGACTTACTCAATCCAAGCTCTACATCTTGTACACACAAATTTCTCGTCAAAATTTCTTGACTTGAAAATTATGAGACAAATACAAATATTTGATGATGTGAGTGATAATCTCTGAAAATTCCTCTGATTAATTTCTTCACTTCATTTTCAAGAGTCACGAACTTGGACTTTGTCTTGATCACGAACTTCGCCGCTACTTTATCACGAACTTCGCTGTTGCTTGATCACGAACTTCGCTGTTGCTTGATCACGAACTTTGCCGTTGCTTGATCTTCACCCCAGAAATCTTATATTCTTCTTGATCTCTGAAATGCTCTCAATCTTCGAATGCTTCTCTATCTTCAAATGCTTCCGAATGAATCAAAATGACTTGGAGGAGCCCCCTATTTATAATGTTAAGTGGGAGACTTTGATGAGAATGAAATCTCTTTGAATTATCTCTAAATTATTTTATTTAGAGATAAATTATGATGCTCATTGAAAGTCTTTTGATTGGTAGGACTTTGAGTCCTTGAATTTTGATTGGCCGAAATTAGGTATTATCTCTAATTTATTTAGAGATAATTTCAATTTGATTTTTATCTCTAAATTAATATAATTATTAGAGATAATTTAAATGACCAATAATTAAATTTTAATTGGTCAAAAATATGAAGATTATCTCCAAATTATTTGGATTTATTTAGAGATAAATTGGATGACCAATAGCTAATATTTGATTGGTCAAAATATAAATATTATCTCTAAATAATTTAGATTTATTTAGAGATAAATTGAATGACCAATAGCTAATATTTGATTGGTCAAAGTATAAATATTATCTCTAAATAATTTAGATTTATTTAGAGATAAATTGGATGACCAATAGCTAATATTTGATTGGTCAAAATATGAATATTATCTCTAAATTATTTTGGGAGATAAATATATACCAATAGGTAAATTGGTTCAACTATATGTCTTTAAAAAATCTAACCAATAAATTAATTATTTTATAATTAATTATATGGTTAAAATATTATTAAATCCACATGGCAGCACGTAATTGGCTGATAATTTTTTTTCTTCTACACATCTATACCACGATTAAAGTATTTCACTCTCATCCATGGTGTGTGTACCATAAGGGAAGCAATGGAGTCTTAGCTAGATGCATTTCCAATCATGAAGTAGAAGAAAAATTGAAAGCAATGTATGGACAATGGTGCGGAGAGGAAAGAACACCGTTGCATCGATTACTCGATAAAGTAGGGTATTTTTGTCCAAATAGTCCAAAGATGTGCTCCAATTTCAATAGCCTTGTCCCAAGTGTTCAGAATATCTAGATGTGCACGAATGTCATTTTGTACGAAGTGCGGGTGATTGGCGTAAACCTTACATCAACTTTTTTTAAAATGGAATTCTTTTAACAAATTTTCCAAGACGCAAGACAATTGAAGAGAAAAGCTCAACGGTTTTTCCTTAAAGGGAATGAATTATTTTGAGTATCATTTGCATGACCTCCATTGAAGTGTGTTTCTCCAATTGATGTAAATCCTTTATTGGAAGAAGTTCACATTGAAAGTAGTGAAGAACATGATAGGGGAGGAAGCTTTATCAGAAATTGTTGGATCTTGGATATGTTTGGCTTACTATGGAAACAGATGCAATGATTTATGCAAAAAAATGCCATGAATGTCAAGTCCATGGAAACCCTATACATACTCCAATTGTAGTACTTTATAGCATCATCATACCTTGGCCTTTCCATACTTTGGAGTTTGACTTGGTTGGACCTATTGGTCTTTTTTCTAAAGATATACATGGATATTTGTAGCAACAGAGTGCTTCACCAAATGGGTAAAGGCTGTTCCCTTGGAGAATGTAATTGGATTGGCTGTAGGCAACTTCATTAAAGAAAAAATCATATGTAGATTTGCAATACCCAAGCATATTTTGTCAAAGAGTGGTACCCTATTTGTTTACTCTAGTGTAAAAGAACTCTTAGCTTTTTATGATATCGACCATGTGAGCCTTTTATTACCCTAAAAGTAATGGTCAAGCTGAAGCCACCAACAAGACTCTACTTAAGATGCTGAATATAATGGTACATGATGATCTTAATATGTGGCATGATGTTGTTCTTATGGCACTATACGCATATGGAACTTCTAAGCAATGACTTACGAACGTTACTATTTTTTCTTTAGTATACTAGACAGAAGTTATTTTGTAAGCAAAAATCCTAGTTCCATTAGCAAAATTGGCCCTAGATGTTAAAATGGACAATGATACTTTACGAATGATGGAATTGGAAACATTAGAGGAAATGAGGGATAAAGCCAAAAAGAACTTTTCCACATATCAAAGAAGATAGAGTAGAGCATATGACAAATTGGTAAGGAAAAAAAGCTATGAAGTGGGTGACTTAGTACCCTGTGCAACAAAACATATTAGAAGAGAAATATAAGTACCAAGTTTAGTCCAAGGTGGAAAGGATCATACATTGTTCATAAGGTGAATGTGAGTGGATATTGCAAACTAATGAATTTAAAGACTAATTCTGTTATAGTACTAGTCAATTTCCAATACATTAAGAAATATCATGTATGAGAATGCCATCCATTATTTGTCTCCTTTTATGAATGACTTCTTAGAGTAAGCTTTTGTTTAATTGCAGTGTATATTTTAAAGTAAATGCATTTTTAGTTGTACCTTTATCGTTTTCATTTTGGCTGTCTTGCGATATTTTAAAGTAAATTCATTTTCACTCATAAGCTTTATTGCTCTTACTTTGGCTATAATATTATTGTTGCACTTGGTCATAATCTTTATAGTTTAAATTTTACACCATATAATTCACATTATCAGTTGCAAGCTTTAACACTCATAATCTGACTGTAATAATATTACGTTATTAGCTGCTAGTTTTATCGCTCACTTTCTGGCCATAGCTTACCCTTCATAAATAGGTTGCAGCTATGAATGCTCATATAAAGGATATGTTATTCTCCTTCATACTAGATTGAAGATTATTCTCTTTAATGTGAAGTTGAAAATCCCTTTTGGCAGCGCAAAATGATACTTGTGAAACATTCATATGTTTGCAAATAATGAAATATAGAAAAATGTATCTCAGTTTATGAGTGAAGAAATAAAACACGAAGAAAAAGTAAATATTTAGCATGAAAAATAAGTCTACAATGTCAGAAAAAGAAAAACTAGAACAAGTTAGTTAAGTATGAAGTTCAGAGGGGAGAAGGATCTATTATTCTCAAAATCGAAATAGTTGTCTAATTTTCCTTGCAACTTTATCTTCCTTGCATCAAGCTTTTTTATCTCTACCTCTATGCTAGGTTTGTCAAACCTCGTCAAAATGTATCCTTTGGCTTTGACTATACAAGTGTCAAGACATTTAATTCGACAACCAGAGTTGAGGACATCTTCCATGAGATCCACCATTTTCTGCAATTCTTTGAAAGCAATGTTGCCTATGGAGAGGAAGCAATCTCTAAGGCACTACCCAATATATCTATATTAGCTTTGTTCATGAATTTGCCTTTAAAATGCCAAAATTCACCTTCTACATTATAGATTTGCTCTAAATTCTACAAGTGTTGCGACAAGACTAGAATGCTATGAAAGTTTTCTAAATGAGTATCAGAAGTATTGTCTCTACATTCAATCATAAATAAAAGAGGATGACACGAAGTGAGTAATAAGAAGGGGTGTAACAATACTTAAATAAATAATATTTATGTTATTTGAAATACTTATAAGAGAA